AAAATTAAATCTCTATTATATAATGACCATCTTTATCACTAATAAAGGAAGTATATTTTTTATCAGGATATTTATTTGGAGTTTCTGTGGACTAGCATTTGCTACACGTTTTTTCTCTTCACTTTCAACATTTCTATTATATTATGTATTGAGTGTGTTTCTTGCAAAGATTTTTTGAATATCTGAAAATTTCTGTCTTTTATTTGATATTAGAGCCATTGATATGTATTATGATTAGAAATGTATAAGGAGGGACGCCTGTGTGACTTAGTTAAATGTCTGCCTTCTGCTCAGGTTATGATCTCGGGGTCCTGGGATCAACTCCCATATCAGGCTCCCTGTTCTGCAGGGATCCTGCTTCTCCCTTTGCCTCTCTCTCTCTCTCTCTCTGTCTCTCATGAATAAACAAATAAAATATTTTAAAAAGAGAGAGAGATGTATAAGGACTTTTCTTCCTTTTTCCCCCTGTACTTACTGTGCTTTTTTATGGCTTTGTTTTCTTCTTCCTTGCTTTTTATTGGCACCATCAAATCTATTTCTTTTCTCTTATGCATTTTATAGATTCCATCCCACTCTTTCTGCATATACTCAAAATTGTAATACATGTGTAATTAACTTAAAATCTTCCTCAATTAGCAGCTTTACTTACATACTCCAAATTATGAGAACCATAGAATGCTTTAACATTTTTAAGCCTCCCCAGTCTTTCATGCCATTTTTTCAGTTTGTTTTTAAGTCCCCTGAAATTAGTTATCTTGTTATTGTTTCATGCAGAGCTTGATTAGATCGACCCTTATTGCCAATTTCTTGCTCACCATGGCTTCTTGAATCCTGTTCTTTTCCACAGGTTCAGTATGCTTCCCTCAGACATACATGTTTCATTCTGTTTCTCAGAATGAGGATCTATGAGTGAACACTCATGACATTTGTCTGGAAAATATCTTTACTTCATCCTCACTCTTGAATGGTAATTAGCTGGGTATAAAAGTTAGGTTTGTAGTAATTTTCTCTGAGCACTTTGCAGAAATTTTAACATAACCTACTAGCTTCTTTTTGCTGAAGAGAACTGTTTTCATCATAATTGCTGTCCTTTTACAAAAATAACCTGTTGGGGTTTTGTTTTGTTTTGATTTTGGTTTGGGGTTTTGTTTTGTTTTGATTTTGGCTTGGGGTTTTGTTTTTTGTTTGTTTTTTTCAGACTTTGCTTGCACTTTAGTATTCTACAGTTTCTATATAATCTATATAGGTTAGGTTATTTTTAAATTTATTATGTTTGAGTCTCATTTAGCTTTTCTGAATCTGAAGATGTGCTTTTACTAATTCTAGAAAGATCTCAACTGTTTCTCTTTTTGAACATTGTTTCCATATATGACTTAAACCCTGCATCTCTCAGCTTTTCAAGATCATCACTCCTTCACTTCCCTCTCTTCTTCATTTCCAGTCTCTCATACATATTGCATCAATTCCATCCACAAGTGAACATGCCCTGTCTCCCATCTTTTATTAAAAAAAAAAAAAACCTCCCTTGACTCCATATCTCCCTGAGGCCATTTCATTGCTCTGCTGGACATCATAGGCAAACTTCTTAACAAATTTGCCTCCACATTTCTCCACTTCCATACCTCCCGTTTATTCTTCATGTCACTTAAGTATGAATTTTGCCCTCACCAATCCAGAGAAACTGCTTTTACAAAGGTTAGTAACAACTTCATGTGTCTGAATCACTGTTCAGTCCTCATTTAACTTGGCCCTCTTCCCAGAATTGAACATGGTTGACTACTGCTTCCCTAAAATACTCTTCACCTTTTTCCTTCTGAAGCACGTGACTCTCTTGCTCCCTAGTGTTGGAGCTCAGAGGACTTGGTTTGAGCTCTATTTTCTTCATTTTCTACTCTCTATTCCTAAGAATTTTTATCCATTTACACAATTTTAAGTACCATATTTGTCAGGGGTGGCCAGATATAAGCCTCCAGTCCTCACTCTTCCTCTATTAAATTGTGTGAATTCCTGCTCTCAACACATTTAAGTTTAAACTGTGCAGAGCTGAAGCCTTGAATTTACCCCCAAAAGAGTGTCCTCCTTATCTTAGCAAATGATATCCCCATCCACCTGGTTTCTAAAGCTAGAATCTAGAAGTCATTCTTCATTCCTTTTTCTCTCAAAGATTCATATTTACTTTATTATAAAGTCTAATGAAGTCTGTCTTAAAAATATGCCTCAAATCCATCCACTTCCCATCTCCATCTCCAGCAGCCTGATCTTGGCCTCTATCATTTCTCAACCAGAAACTACTATCTAGTTCCTGAATCCCTGTCACTATGAATACTCTCCTATCCATTTTCAACATGGTGGTCAGAACATCTTTTAAAAAAAAATATCTTCCTACTTAAAGTCCTTCAAGAGCTTCTTATTGGACTTAGATTAAAAGAAAATCTATACTCCTTAATAAAACCTTCAAGGCCCTTTCCTTCTTTCAACCTCAGCCAAATTCTCTCCTCTCCCTCTAGCATTCTGGCTACTCTGGCTTTCCCATTCCTTAGTCACACCAAGCTCTTGGTCCTGGAGGGCCCCCATAGATTCCTTCTGCCTGGAATGTTCTCTAACTCTGCCCCTACCAGACTGGCTCTTCCCCTGCTTCATCAAGCAGCATGAGATCACCTTACAAGAGAAGCTTTTCTGACGACTGTGGATAACATAGGGCCTCTCTTGTGTCTCTAGTAACAACTTTTTTTTTTAGCTCTTTCCACACATTGTTTCCCTCTCTTTCAGAGTTGTATGATCTTATTTTATTTTATTGGTCTTGCAATTTCGACAGTATCTTAATAGTCAGTTTTGTTGCCATAATTAACCAGCCCCATCCCTTTAGAGGCTTTCAAGTAAAACAATATTAAGAAACCTTTGAGGGGATCCCTGGGTGGCTCAGTGGTTTAGCACCTGCCTTTGGCCCAGGGCATGATCCTGGAGTCCTAGGATCAAGTCCCACGTCGGGCTCCCTGCATGGAGCCTGCTTCTCCCTCTGTCTGTGTCTCTGCCTCTGTGTGTGTGTGTGTGTGTGTGTGTCTCTCATGAATAAATAAAATCTTTTTTTAAAAAAGAAACCTTTGATTGCTAAATTTAGAAAATGTTCAACTGCCAATAGAACCCCTTACTGAGGGATTCTTCTAAGACCACGTTTAATCTGAGGGGGCCTCTAAATGAACCATGGTATCTTGGCTCTCTGCAAGTGCAAGCACTCGCTGGGATAGATTCTCTGCATTCCTACAAGAAGGCTTTGTCGTATCTTAGTGCCATTTCCTTACAGCACAATTAGCCAATTTTAGTAAAAACAATTCTGAGAGGGTTTTTTTTTCCATTGTTTTTTCAGAGCAGAAATAGTATACTGGACAGTTTGCATGTGACAAACTAAAATACCAAAACTTAGTTTTGCTGCAGAGAAACCATGGTTATAAGTTGTTTCTTTTGATTTTTTTAACTTGCTTACTCTCTCTGCTTTTACAAATCTTTAAGTTCCAAAAGGAGGGAACCAGGTCTGTTTTGTTTGCCACTTTATGTATATAATTAGTGGCATACATAAATAAAGATCTCAAATTGATGCTTTTTTTTAAGTAAAGCTCTGATGAGCATCTTCCCAAATTGCATCTGTAGTTGTCATCCTCCTATTTTTTTTTTGGTTAAGTAAAAGTAGCATACTGAATTACTGAACTCTACCTCTGAAACAAATAATAATACACTGTATGTTAATTGAATTTAAATTTTAAAAAAATAAAAATCTTTTAAAAGTAGCATACTGGCCTCCCAGTCTGTGAAAAAGATAATTATCGTCTGTATTTCTTTTATTTGTTAATGGAGGCTTAAAACTTTGAAAGTCCTTAGTAATGGCTCATAATGTTTCAATTTTGTAAAAATTCAGAACATTTACACATGGGTTTGTATGTTTCCAAGTAGACTGCCTTGGTGGTTTTTGGCTTACCATGGCCACACTTGCTTTCAAGGAATCTCCTAGTCTGTGTCTTGAAGCTCGCTGGTGCTAGAGATATGTATTTTTGTTTAGTTTTGCTTTTATTTTAATTCATGACTTAATACATGGTCTTGTCACAAGAGGACCTGTATCTGAATAATTAGAGATAAAACCAGCCTTACTTCATAATACTCAAAATATTTAGCTGGCTAGGACACCAACCAATGAGACTTGCACCTGGGCCAATCAGAAGGGACTTGTCGGTTACACACCTATTGGCCACACCTACAGGCCACACCTGGTGTGCTGAATCCAGACCCTGTCTCTGGGGAAGGAAATTCAATAGACCTTACTGGTGGCTTTCATTTTAGCTAACTCCCTCATTTTTTTAATGCCTGGTTTTTGGTTTTAGGTTTGGTTTCATTTGTTCTTTTTTGGAAGTGATTCAAAGCCTTGGAACCTTCTAATTTTCCCATAATCATATCTTATTTATACCTGTCTGGATCTTCTACACAGGGAGCAACTTTGGTCAAAAGGATACAGTAATTGAGTTCTGCTTTCCAGAACTTGCTGAGTTAAACGCAGGTTATGGTGACCGGCCGGGGCTATCTTGGGTTTGTCCACACAGTGCTTTGTTTGGGGTGGTGAGAGTCTCATTCCTTAGCTGATGGCATGGCCCTATAATCTTACTGTTGCTCCACATTCCTTTCTGATTCTGGCCTGAGGCATGGTGGATCCGTGGAGGATTTTCAGAGATCAAAGGATATCTCTGTTTTCTCAGGTCTGTTTGTAACTCCACCTCACTGGGAAAAAAAAAAGGCCCAGTGAGGGATCTCACTCCCACTGAAGTCCTTGTTTCTTGATGTCATCTATGTGTTTCATGTCCAAGGCCACCTGCCTTCAAATAAATGGATTTTCTGACATTTTTCTTCTTTTTGAATCACAGGTCCACACATTCCGAGGCCCGCACTGGTGTGAATACTGTGCCAACTTCATGTGGGGGCTCATTGCCCAAGGGGTTCGGTGCTCAGGTAGACACAGAACTTTCTTCATCCTTTTCTATTTATATCAAGTGACATAATGTTGAGCTGGAGATCATTTCTCCAGAGGTCGGAAACAGATCCAGATTAGTTCAAGAGTCTGGCTTTCTGGAAGGTTCAAGTCATCTCTGTGCTTAATGGAGAACTGTTCTAGGTGTCTGCTGAAACAAAAAGGAAATATCATGTTTATGCAAGAAAAGAAAAACATCCAAGCAAGTACATTTCCTTATGAACCTTCCTGCCACCCAAAATAGGCAGCAGTCCTTAAAAGAAAAAGAAATCAATTCCAATGGAATGGCAAAGATAGAAAAACCACATTTCTTTCCCATCCCTACTTTATTACAAAAGGCAAGACATGAAAACAGAAATACTGGTGAACCTTTGCCACACACCAGGCATTGAGTTGAGCACTTTCTATTTATCATGCCATTTAGCCTCACCAACAGACCTTAAAGAGATACAATTATTCTCCCCACTGAACGGATGAAGAAACTGAGGCTTAAAGGTAGTTGTTAATTGCTCTTGGCCACATAGTAAGTGGTGGAAAATTGATTCAGCTCCAGAACCCATGCTCAGAATTTCTCTGCTATCAGATTAGCTGTGCAACTAAAGACCTTGATTGGATATCACATATTTTCAAAGCATTTTGAAACCCTGGGTGTTTTTCTACCTAGAACTGGGCACACACACCCGGTGTTAATGGCACATAACACATCTTATTAAAATACAGCTAACAAAAGAGCAAAGAATTGCCAAACTAGTGTGTAACTAGTGTGGCTTCCTAATTCATCTCACCACACTTTTTCTGGCAAGCAGTCCTGGCCAGGAGCAAGAATTGCCTCCTGTGCTATACTGATTGGGTTTCCACCAACACCATGATTGATTTCTTCCTTGCTAGGGAATGATTTTTTAAAAAAAATTCTTACAGAGCATTTAAAATAAAATAAGCTAATGATACTACGTTAAGATAATCTATTTTACCATACTGCCCATTTTGGTTCAAAGGACTGTGAGACCTTAAATCCTTTCTCTGTTCAGAAGAAGCCACCTTAGCTTCTACTGTGTAGATACAACCGGTAGTGGTACCTGGAGGTTCAGGTATTGGTTGTGTATGTGGTTTACCGCTACCTGCCCCCATCACAGATGAGACAAGCAGCAAACAGGCTCAGAGACAGCCTCTCTAGGAATGTTCCAGATACCCCAATGAACACAAAAGACTTACTCACCTGGGAGTTACGAAGCATCTCACAGCTCAACCACTGATTAAAATGGTAGACCATCTGAATCACCCAGTGGTAATTAATTCAGGCTGTCCAGATTATACCTACCAGAAATATCCTCATTGCGGATATTAACCAAATTGAGCAGCAAATTGGTCCAAAGAGAACAAAACTCTAGAATTTGGATTAGCTGTGAATAGCAACCTTTTCTGGGATAAAAAGTGTTTGTTTTTTCTGTTTTTTTTTTACTTAAACATATTCTGAGGTTATAATGTTAATATTCTCTAGTGGCCACTGTTTGGCCTCACAATTTCCTCTGAGCAGCAGGAAAATCAAAACCTGATCATTGTTTTCCATATTTTAAGTATTTTTTAAAATGAACTAGACTTTATTTATAGCATATGGAGTTATAGTAGTTTGCAAATACTGAATATTTTTATATATTGTAAAACACATTAATTTTAACAAAATGTCATTATTCAACTCTAACAAAAAATGCTGCTGCTTCAGATCTTAAAATGGAGTTTATATGGAAATTAAAAATAGAATCATCACATAATCCAGCAATTCCACTTCTGAGTCTCTATCCAAAAGAACTGAAAGCAGGCACTCAAACAGATATTTGTCCACCTGTGTTTATAACAGCACTATTCACAGTAGCCAAAAGGTAGAAGCAACCCAAGTATCCATCAATAGATAAAACAAAATGTGCTATGTCAATACCATGGGGTATCACCCAGCCTTAAAAAAGTAAGGAAATCCTGTCATATCTTGTAATACTAACGAACCTTAAGGACATCCTGCTAAGCAAAATGAGCCAGTCACAAAAGGACAAATGCTAATGATTCCACTTATATGATTTTCACTTTCCAGTAATCAAATTCATAGAAATGGAAAGTAGAATGTGGTTGCCAGGGGAAGGAGGGTCTGGGGAGTTACTGTTTAACGAGTAGAGTTTCAGTTTTGGAAGCTGATGGTTCTGGAGATGGATGGTGGTGACAGTTGCTCACAACGTAAAGGTACTTAATGCCTCTTGAACTGTACACCCAGAAATGGTTAAAATGGTGAAATTCATGTTAGGTATATTTTATCACAACTTTAAAAATTTTGTCTTCAAAGACACTTATCAGAACTTAATAAAACTTACTAAAGGAAATAACAAGAATAGCTGGCCAGGTATCCTTATATTTTCTCACAAATTTGTTTTTTTTTTTTTTAATTTAACTCTTAGCAGGTAATGTTCACTGCACTTCAGAGTTTACACAGATTATTCAGTTGATCCTTATAATAATCCTAGCAGTAGATGCTAATATCATCCCTATTTTATAAAAGAGAATCCAAACAAGAAAACAAACCAGTTCTATTTGGTTCACTTTGCCCAAATTTACATATACAAATAGATCTATCAAAATACCATTGAAGTTTACTTGAGCTGTGTTGAATTTCTCATGTTGATAAAACCAAGATGATTTAGAACTGGTTTTTCCTTTGAAAGGAGGGTGGACAGAACTCAGCCTAAAAATTACACGAAAACCATGTAATGATTTTGCAAAAATTTTTTTTGATGATTTTATGAAAGTTTAGATTTTCTCAAATCCTTGGTATGGATGGTTAAGTGCTTTTTTGTTATTTGTTAAATAGCTGGTGACAATATTCATTATTATATATATGTAATATATATATATATATATATGTTTTGAATAGACAGCACATCAACTTTGAACAACTTAAGCATTAAATTTTTATTTTCCAGACTGTAGACTGTGTCTTGTCATTATTAGAGAAATTCTGTCAGTGGATACCAACTGCTAACAAGGTTTTTAATGTGTTCATTGAACTTAAAAGTACCTTTTTAGCTTTGGATCTTGATATGAGCTTTATAAATAATTAATCATCAAGTTATGTGGCATTGTTCTGAATTGTAAACTCTCAGGTACCCCCACTGGTGTCTAGTTAGACATTATTTCCACTCACAGGTGTCAAAATAAGGCAAGTAGAAAGAAAAATGGCCAAACCAAACTGCCCAACAAGGAGAAGGTACTAGAAACTATGGGCAACTCTCCAGGAAATGGGAAGGAGATGCCAATGGTCATGGGTCCCTCAGACCAAAGATTAAAGATTCCTACAGAGAGAGTTATCATGTCTTCCACAAAAGGAAAATCTAAGACTTTAGGAAAACAACCTAGCAGAAGTCCTAAGTACCCAAATATGTGGACCCAAAGTTTCCAGTCTGAAAAGAGGGAAAAAAAACATACAGATAACCTAGCTGATTACCAAAACGATCTCAGTGAAATGTTCTATTATTTGTTCTATTATTATGGTCCAGCAACAGAAAAAGCTGAGAAAAAATGGAATTATTTAAGTTTTGTGAGTAAAGATGGATCTCATGGAGAGTATCACCTCTACGTGGGATAGGTGTGTTCCAGAAAGATACAGCAAACCCTTGGGTGTTTTCAGTTTTATTTTTGGTAACCTATCATTTGTGCTGGGCTTTGACCAAAGGGCCGGGCAAGGCTAATGTGGCTTCTTTGTTTACAGACTGTGGATTGAATGTACACAAGCAGTGTTCCAAGCATGTTCCCAACGACTGTCAACCTGATCTCAAGAGGATTAAGAAGGTGTACTGTTGTGACCTCACAACACTTGTGAAGGCTCACAATACTCAGAGACCCATGGTGGTAGACATATGCATACGGGAAATTGAAGCAAGAGGTTTGGAAAAGACTCTATACTTATAGTGATTTTGTTTTCACTGTTTGTTTTTACTGTTGTCAAGGAGACTTTTTTATAATTGTTAAATTGACTCTCTCTCCACTATCGATGTTGGGGAGACATTCTGACCCAGCATACACACACACCACACACACACACACACACACACACACACACATACATGCATACACACAGAAATAAGCTAAATCTAGCCATTACATCAGTTTCTGTTTTATACCTAAACCTTGCATGTAGGTATTCAACCCATGTTTGCTAAGCATTTATTATGTGCTACACATTGAGAATATAAAAGTCACAGTTCTCACCTTCCAGAAATCCATATTGTAATATGCAGAATCAGAGGGGTCAGTAAATAAATGTTATGGGTGTGTGCATCCAAAATACCATGGAGTCATAGAGGAAGACATTTCAGTGTTATTTGAGGACAATTCAGGAATGGTTTATGGCAGAAGTAAGATTTGAATTGAGTCTTAAAAAGTCACCCCACTAAATAAGGAGATAAACTGTTGATCAACACATACATTTTATACCATAGAGAAATTCACTGCCAGTATTGGTTCTGTTTATTTCAAAGAAGAGAGTTAAAAGAGTAAAAAGATCTATGCAATGAAAAATAAAGAAGCCATTGAGGAAGGGCACCTGGGTGGCTCAGTTAGTTAGACATCTGACTTGATTTCAGCTTGGGAGGTGATCTCATGGTCTGGGGATCAAGCCCCATAGCAGGTTCCACTCAGCAGGAAGTCTTCTTAAGATTCTCTCTCTCACTCTCCCTCTGTCCCTCCCCTCCACATGCTCTCTCTTTTTTTAAAAGATCTATTTATTCGTTTGAGAGAGGGAGAGATAGAGCAAACAAGCAGGTGGAGGGGCTGGGGGAGAGTAAGAATCCTGAGGCAGACCCCATGCTGACCACGGAGCCTGATGCAGGGCTTGAACCTAGGATCCCAAGTCCTTGACCTGAGCCAAAATCAAGAGTTGGCAGCTCAACCAACTGAGCCACCCAAGCGCCCCAATGAATAAATATTTAAAAAAGAAGAAGGCACAGAAAATAGAAACATTTCAATGAAAAGGTTCTCTATAGTATGCTTGAGTCACCCTTCCTTTATCTATGTTTTGTTTGGCTACTCCTCAGTATCAGAATGTTCAGTGAGATGGTGGGTTGAGTCTGGTTGGGGAGAACTTGGATTGCTGGATATAACTTGGATAATTGGACCATGTATAAAGCCCAGAGGCTTTAACCATTTTTGCCATGTAGGTACTCTGCTAGAGTTGGTATCCATTATTGTGTCCAAACTGGTGTAATGTATTCTACAGATTATTTATGCATTGGCTAACTACTACATTCTTTCCAAAAGAAGACAAAAGAGGACATTATAAGCTTGTTATCCCAAGCCTTTTAGAGACAGGAAAAATCCCTTTTCCGTGCAGGATGAAAACCAGAGCTGTTCTGTCCCCTTCAGATTTGCTCATTTAATCTCAGATTGTAAGAAGTGCTTGCTGCCTTTTGACTGCTGTGCCTGTCAGCTTAGTGGGTGCTTTGGGATCTGGTGAAGGTATTGCTGCAGGGCCTGGGCTGAGTAAGAGTTAAGACGGGGTGCCCTGACCCTGGGTGAGATGCTGGGGGAGTATCCCTGGCTCCTATCATTGAGAGGGCTCTGCAATTGGGGGTCAGATGATCAGCCTCCCTGGAGCCTCAACTCAGGACCCCAGCTTCTCTGGAGAAGCTGGGATCATCTCATAATGATCCTCATCAGAAGCGACTGATAGATAACTCAGGCAGAGTTACCACCGTGTCTGACATCTTACGTGTCCGTGGGGAGCACGGCATGAAGCATGCCTGGAACAAGAGCTAGAATGGCACAGATCAGGAATTTATGCCAGGGGACTGAAAGCAAAGGGATTGGAGCTGCAGGCATTAGCATCCTGCGCATGTGAGCAGAATCAGAGAATGGGCTGGAAGAAATTCACATGACTCCCATCCTCTGCCTCATTGCCACCCCTGCCAAAGTCTTACCTCACTTCCATCCATGGCAAATTCCTTATTGTTCTGCAAATGCTCTTTCATGGCCATTTGTTTCTGCATGATGTGGCAGGACGAAAAGATCACGGACGTGGAGTTAGATTCCCAGCCCTGTCTCACACTCACTGTGGCACGACCTTGGCCAAGTTACCTGCCCCATTTGAATATGTTTTCTCACCCATAAAGTGAATGGAATCAGTCATAAGCTGACTGTGAGAGTTGAAATGAGTTGATCCATATAAATGACCTAGCACAGGGCCCAGCATAGAGGACTCAAACTATGTTCTTCCTTTTGCCTTTTCTTGGAATGGCCACCTATCCTAACTCCACCTCCAAATGTGTCTGTCTACCACCTTACTTCACCCATGTGTCTCAGTGCTATCACAGAGACCCCAAACCTTAGTGTCTATAACAAGATAGAAATTTGTTTCTCTCTCCAGTAACAATCCAGACACTGGGAGCAGTCTAGGGCTAGGTGAGCAGCACCCCAGGGGCAGGAGCCCAGGCCCCGCAACTTGTTGCCTGCCATCCTCGTGAGCTGCTTTCATCTGCATGGTCCCAAGTGGTTACCACCTTCTCCTCTGCATTCCAACCAAGGGCAGAAGGGCATGCTCTTTCTCTCCAAGTCCACAACCATGGCACTATATACATCACTTCTGCTCTCTTTCTATTAGCCAGAATTTACTGGCCATGGCCACGGATGTTGTTCTAATCGAAGGTTCCATTGCAGCTGAGGAAGAGGAGAGTTGATATTACAAGGAGAGCTGGAAGCCTCTGCTACTCTGGCAAACTCTAGTCCATCTTTCATGACTCCTTGAAAGATTAGCTCTTCTGTAAGACCTTCCCCACAAACAGTCAAGGATTAGTGTTCACAGTACTGTGCTCCCATGTGCCATGGCATCCTCACCCATGTGCCACGGCATCCTCACCCATGTTGCATGCACGCATTACATGTACTGAGGCACGCTTACATGTACTGCCAACTAGAAGAGGATGACTCCAGGTCTTCTCTTGTGGGCCAGCCAGTTGATCAGTATTGGCAGCCTGGGCAACTGTACTGAGTCGAGTTCTGAGAGTGAGTGGGGCTCAGTGGGAGATGGAGCCAAGGTCAGGGAAGGTCTCTTACAGTCCCAGGAGGAAGAGCAGCGGGGTTGATGCTGTGCAGTTGTTCTCTGATGCAGACCCTTATAGATGGCAGATAGCATACCCCTGATCCATGTTGCCCTAATGAAGAACAGAAAAGTGTGTTGTTAAGAGCTTGACAAGTGTATACCGCACCAGTTCTATCAGCTATTTGTTTGCTTGTTCTTGCTGTAGCTGGAGTTTGATAGTACCTGGCTTCTGACCTGCTAGGTCTGGAATCTGGCCCTCTATCCCTTCTGATGCTTTTGGGACCTGGCTAGGCCTTAGGACATTTCTTAATAAATCAATAAGATCTAGGAGCAGAAACAACATTTCTGTCTCAGCCTAAGTATACAGTGGTCATGTTTCCAGAATCATCACTAAAATTTTATTTTTCTCTAATGTATGAACATTTATTTGAAGGTATAATAATTAAATCAATCGTATTGAGTTAAACATTGAGCATATTATCATAATTATAATTAAACATAAACATAAAAGGCTATAAAATTCAGATTGTTTCAATAAAATCAAGATAGTATGCAAGCATCCACGTATGTATGTGTTCCTAGCACAGCCCTGCATGCACATGGGATAAGATGATGCTGGGGAGGAAGCAGGTTGATGCCTGGGGCAGTGAAATCTAATCCAGCAGCCTGATGAATGAGGAAGCAGGAGACCATGGTTGATGAGAATCTTAAACAGGCATCTAGTTTGCAAAGCCAGGCAGGAAGAAGACCAGAGCCCTGAGGTCTCTACTGCACCACAAGCACATCCAGACAGACTTGCCTGGAAACTGAGATGGACAAGTCCACTTCTGACATGATCGTGTATAATATACAAGAGCCCTGGCTCTCATTTGCTCATTTCCTGATACTGTACAATGTAAATACAGAATTAGAAATTAGAGTCATTTGTAGATGTTTCAGGGAACTAAAGTCTCTTTTTATCAACAGGATTGAAGTCAGAAGGCCTTTACAGAGTCTCTGGGTTCACTGAACACATCGAAGATGTCAAGATGGCATTTGACAGAGGTGGGCTTGTGCTTTTCTGAATGCTGGGTAACCTATCCTTAGCACCCTTTCTCTTGGAACCAGACTTTATTCATAGTGCAGATGGGTTTCAGAGCTACTGAGAGCTATTCCTCAGGAAGCCAAGGAATAAGTGTCTCCTTAAAAGTTTTAGACCAGGGACCAGATGGAAATGTGAGTTTAAAATATGGGATGCCTGGGTGGCTCAGCGGTTAAGTGCCTGCCTTTGGCCCAGGGAGTGATCCCGCAGTCCCAGGATTGAGTCCTGCATTGGGCTACCTGCATGGAGCCTGCTTCTCCCCTCTGCTTGTGTCTCTGCCTCTGTGTGTGTGTGTGTGTGTGTGTCTTTCATGTATAAATAAATTTTTAAAAATCTTTTAAAAATTGTATTAAAATACTTCTTGGATGGGCAGCCATCATTTGGTGCCCTTATGATTCTTGATTTGGTGGCCAAACATTTATGGTCAGTCCACGTGGCACCAGAGTGTCCTTACACCCCCAACCATGGATCTCTGTGACTCTTTTCCTTCTCCCAAAACTCCAAATAAAACAGCATAGGATGGCAGTATGCCCAGCACTGAAATAAGGGAAGCCAGGGGAAGTTTAGAAGGTAACACCTTAAAAAAAAAAAAAAGAAGAAGAAGGTAACACCTTTTGTTATTTATTTATTTTTAAAGATGCTCTCTAGGCCATACTATCTCTTAGGTCAAAGAACTTGGGAGCTCGTTAAAAAATGCAGATTGCCAGGGGACTCATTCCGAAAGCTGAGCTCAAGAATCTGTATTTTCTTATTAGTTAATTTTTATTCAATTTATTTTTTTAAAAAATCAGCTCACCCATTTCTCTCACCCCTCACAGCTTGTCTCCTGAAACCACCAATCTGTTCTTTGTATGTATGAGCTTTATTTTGTTTTGTTTTGTTTTAGATTCCGTGTATAAGAGAGCTCATACAGTATTTGTCTTTCTCTGTCTGACTTCTTTCATTTAGCATAATTCCCTCGAAGTCTATCCATGTTGCCACAAAAGGCAAGATTTCTCTTTTTCTTATGGCTGAATAGTATTCCATCATTTATACACCACATCTTTTCTATATTCATCCATCAGTGGACAATTAGATTGCTTCCATATCTTGGCTTTTGTGAATAATGCTGCAGTGAACATGAGGGTGCATATATCTTTCCAAATTAGTGTTTCTATTCTATATTTCTACTGAATAGTCCAAATAATTGTAGTAAAGCCAATCAAGGGATATAACCCCTAGCCTACTAGTTAGAACTTTCACTCTGTAGAACAGTAGACAGGTCTCTGATGATCTGGCCACCCTATCTTTTCAGGCTCAGGGCCAATTTCTCTGCCCTGTATACTTTATGCCCCAGATTTACTGAAATACACCTCACCTGTTTTCATGAACAACTACCTTGGCTCACATTGGACTGTCCATCTAGAATGTGTTCACATCCCTGGCAAACACTTACCTATTGATCAGGTGTCCACTCAAGTCTTTCCTCTTTTCTGAATCCTCCCTGAGTACCTCAAGCTGACCTAAGAGTCCCATTGCCCTTTCCTCTGTCCACTTCCAGCCCCTGTGTTTTCACATATCTCCAGCCTAGCAAGCTTCCCGTTTCCTTGTAACCGTGGAGTTGCATGCCTGACTCCTAGACAGACTAGAGCCATTTGAAGGGAATATATCTTTTCTTCTCTGATTCATCAGAGCTTAACAGTGCCTGGCACACGGTCCAGTCTCAATAGATATTTGTTAAATATGTAAATAATGGGATCGGATAACCCATCTACCGCACTCACTGTTTTCTGTACACCAGCTTTTTTTTTATCCTTAGAACCAAATTTGCTAAGACGTTTGTACTTTATTTCAATTCTCTATGTCAAAGAAAATGCTAACCATCTCAATATGATTGAAACTACCGTATCCAAAAACTTTAGTCTGTGACAGTTAAGTTGGACTGATTTTTACTAATGGTAAAACAAAAAGTCAAAGAATGTCTTCAGAATGACTGCAAACACGGTTAGAATATAACGTTACCCATACCTGAGGGAAGGTCAGAGTTTCCCAGATTAAAGCCTCAGGGACAGAAGAGAAAGAACCAAGATAAAAGTAAAACGTCAGCGAGCCTGCAAGAGACGAGAGAAACTGAAGACATTGGCAGTTATGTTGTGTATGTGATCTTCAAATCCAAATCCAAAGAATACTGGTGCAGCTATATAAAAGCTTGATTTTTTATTATTATTTCACATTAGATTGTTATTCTCTTATGAACGTTTCTGTCTCAAACATAAAACTTACTATGCTAAGTTTCTCCCCAGCAAATTACCAGAGGCTGAGCCCCCAAAGAACTATAAGAAGTTGATTTCACACCCTTTTTGGCTTCGCTTACCCTCAGACCCAAAATCACTCTCCCCAAACTTCTTTTTGTTACTTCCCGCACGTCGGTGTTATTAGAAGCGAGAGGAGTCAGTTGGGACTTGTCCGGGCACATTGCATTCACTGTAGGATCTTTTTTTCTTTCTTCCTGGGCATGCTTTCACTTGGCGAAATAGGTCCTAATTAGGAATTGGATCATTGATTGTTTTTCAGATGGTGAAAAGGCAGATATATCTGCCAACATCTACCCAGACATAAACATCATCACTGGAGCCCTTAAACTATACTTCAGAGACTTACCCATTCCTGTTATCACCTATGACACCTATCCCAAATTTATTGAGGCAGCAAGTAAGTACTGAGAACTAATTTTTTATTTGTACCAAACTGTTAAGTATAATGCTTTTAACTTCAAGAAAATTAAAACTCAGAACTGTTTCATTCATTCCATGGGCACTGGCTTTGCCAAGCAAGGGCACAATGGTACAGCTAAGTGAAAACCAGTCAGAGTCCACCGGCTGAGTTGAGCCAGTACCAAGCCGACTCCACTCGGCCAAAGCTGGGCACTGGGCAGTTCTCTCTCCCCTTTGTCCCTTCCATGCTGGGAACTGGCACAGTCGGGGATACTCAGTTATATGTCAAAAGCAAAAATGTTTCTATGGTAAAAAAAAAAATCAGATATTCTTCAATGAGGACCAAATAGATTGGCTACTTTCGTCCATTAAGCACACTCATTGGTAATCAATTAAAGTTATACCCCAAGATTTGTCCACCAATGTTCAAAACTGGTATTACTATGTCAAGTACTATCCAGGACCTCTCAATTATATCCTCTAGATTAAGCTTCTCATCTACCTAGGGGGCAAATATCGTAATCCCATTTCACAGGGCAGGAAAGCTAGTCTCGGAGAGCTGAGCTCATAGGGCCGGGGACAGAACATCATCATTGCTGGTCTTCTTTCAGACCATGGTCGCTCATTCAGTATTTGGCACTTGGGTTGACTGCTGTCAGGAGAAAGGACCATATTGGGATGGGAGGTAAGGGGTCAGAGGGTGGGAAGTGGTGTTGCACTTTGCCCAGGAAAATGGGAAGGAAAGGGAGAGTCAGATGCTAGAATGCATGACACAGAAATCAAACACACTTTGAGGAATTTTTTTATGAAAAATATCATTGAAGGTAAATATAATAAGATGCCTGATGAGGATAAATGTGGGCCAGATGGGATTAGTGCAAGATGCACTCTCCTGATGAGGTATGGCCCCACTTCCTGGTAAGAGCATACTTTCCTGGGTCCTGGTGGTCCTAGGTGAAGAAGGTTCTGGCAGGTGGGTCTCCTGTGCCCCAGGAGGAACAGCAGGAGAACTTTCTTTGAATGGCTGCCAATACCTATCAGAGACCTAAAAAGCAGAAGCATGCATGTTTCCTCCCTTTGTGAATATGCTTAGTATCTACTTCCTAACCTGGACTGTTAGCGGGGTTCAGCACTTTGGTGAGAAGTGCCATTAACGCAAGCTGAGTTGGTAGGCTCATGGGCCAGAGCCCTCATGTTGTAGAGTGTATTCAGTTACGGAGCCTTCCAGTCATACAACTTCCAGAGAATGCTACCAAGTGTGATCTAGTTTAAAGCTCGTGATAGTGAGATCTCTAGCAAGTCCAGCATTCAGAAGATGGGCAAAGCAGTTTGTGCCACTGGTAAACATCTACAGGGCTGCAGATTCCTGGCGGGGGAGAGGGCGGGGGGGTGACTAGGACTATGCCCACCCTCCCATCATCCACCCAGCGGACGTTCAATACATGTGTGGTTTCCAACCCCAATCATTTCTGGAATAAGGCAAGACACAAATGGATGGACTAGTTTAAATGAAATGTTACCCAAAATTGCATGAACTTATTAAGACTTCCCCTCCATCTGTAACCAGAACAAACCAAATTTCTTGTTACTTCACTGAAAACTTGAATGTGGCAGCGCTGTATCAACTCCTTATGTGTATTCCTACAGAAATCTCCAACGCAGATGAGAGACTGGAAGCCGTCCATGACGTGCTGATGCTGCTGCCCCCTGCCCACTATGAGACCCTCCGATACCTGATGATCCACCTCAAGAAGTAAGCTCACACCTCCTTGACACGTCTTCTGTCAACTGCGCCTGCCTGGGACAGTGACTGTGTTAGGAAGAGTTCACAACCCTCCCTCACCCGCTGAGAGGACAGACTCTCCTTTAGAGTGAACTATGCTGCCTTTGCGAGGCCTGCCCCATTCATAATTGCTAGAACACTCGCTCTGTGCCAGCAGGTGCACCACACAACTTTATATGTGTTGTGTCTGTGAGGTGGGTATTGTTAGGGGCCTCATATGACAGATGAGATTGCTGACATTTAAGGAAGTAAAATAACCGATGGGAAAAGAGGTAAAGTGAAGCCAGGATTGAAATCCAGGCAGTCCAAACGAGAGCCCATGCTCTGCCTTAACCATTCGTCTACGCTGCCTCCGTATCTGCATCTGCCTCCCACATAAGCCCCATATTCTGTGTTCTGGTCTTCCTCTTTCAGCTCATTCTAGTTCCAGACTCCTGAACCTGCCTTCTTCCGGGCAAGCACATTCCCATTCTAATCCCTTGGTTTTCTTGATGTATTGGTGACCTACCACCAAGTAAGAAATTGTCCCAAAAGTTGGAGGCTTAAAACAATAAATATTTGTTATCTCACAGTCTCTGTGATCAGGAACCCAGGTGTGGCTTAACTGGCTGCCTCTGGCTCAAAGCCTATAATCAGGCTAGGGCTGAACGGACAGCCAGGCTGCAATCTCATGTAAAGGCTCTACTAGGGGGCACCTGGGTGACTCAGATGGTTAAGTCTCTGCCTTTGGCTCAGGTCATGATCTCAGGGTCTTGGGTCAGTGGAGAGTCTGCTTCTCCTTCTCCCTCAACTAGCGGACAATGCTCTTCCAAGTTCACTCATGGGGTGGCTGGCTGGATTCAGTTCCTCGGAAGCTGTGTGACTGGAGGCCTCATTTTCTTGCTGACTCTTTGCTAGAGGCCACCCTCAGTTCACTGCCATGTGGGTCTCCCCATGGGCAGTTCACAAAATGGCAGCTGGCTTTCCTCAGAGCCAGTAAGCAAGAACACCCAAGACAAAAGATACAGTCTTTCTGTAACCCAATCTCAGAAGTGATATCCAGCTGCTTTTGCTATATTCTGTTGGTTAGAAGTAAGTCGCTACTGTCTGGCCCATGAGCTCGGGGAAGGGTTTATATAAGAGTATGAATTTCAGGAAGCAGGAATCACTGTGAGCCATCTCAGAAAGTATCTACCATGGAGAGCTATCCACTACCTTATGTGTGACAGCACCTAAGACAGGTGGAGATGTTTGGGTATTTACAGGACACTAGAGCCTCTGGTTCCAAACTCTTTTACCCCAACTGTGGATCTCTTTCCTTCACTGTACATATATAATGAGGTCAGTGAGTTGGTCTTTGAGATATTGGAGGGCTCAGGGCATTTCTGTGTGCTCTCCTCTATGTTTTTAGAAGACACATAGCAGTGGCCCATTCTTAGAAAAATGAACCAAAAGTTGTCTGCACTGACTACAGATCCATTCAATAAATGAAAGGAAGCAAGTTGATAATACTGTATAAACACTAGGTGTTAAAGTTTTTGTTTTTTTTCCTTTATAAAACATATATTGTTGCTTTTATTCATGGTGATCAGAGCCATAATAACATTTAGCTCAGAGACTTTCCATTTTGATTAATTTATTGAATTTAAGAGTATGAGTAATTTTTGGATAAGTAACAGACTATGAATGCCAGCCTGGCTTTTAATTAGCTATAAATTATTTCTTTAGGAAGAAATTAGTTCTAATTGTTATTGTTTGGAAGGCAAAGTATCATTATTAGGGAAAATGCTGATATGTCCCAGTTGATACTTTAATGCCAATAATTTAGTATTTTTATCATGGAGGGTTTGCTATCCATCTTGTTTGGCCAGGCATGGTGCCTGACTTAACGGGAAGATGTGAACTCTTTGTGAAGAATGTTCCTTTTTCCTACCTCCTTAGCTTTGCAACATGAAAATAATGCAAGCTGAATTCCTAGAAGAATACTTCCTAAAGTATTCTTCCTAAAAGAATACTAAGTAGCCAATCTTAATTAGCTCCAAGAAAATAGAAACAAAGGGATGACCTTCTTTGTAGAATCTAAACATGTTTTAATTATATTTTTCCCTGCTACAGAGAACCTATAGTCCTTTAGATCTATTACAAACATCCAAAAAAACCTCAATTCCTTAAGAATCTAGGAGACTGTAATTTTATCCCACTAGGAAGGTATTAAGCCAACTCTGGAGTTTGACTTTTATTCTTAAAGGCTTTGCTGTTCTCATCTGGATGTTGAAATGATGATTTTCAATTCCAACAATAATTACTGCTCCAGACCTCATCCTGTGGGAACTAGAAATAATGTCCAACTGCTTTCCTGTTTGGCCACATTCCAGCCATTCCCCTGTCCCGTGATAATGGTCTGGCTATTCCTACACTCGTGGCAGCCCCATCCTACAGTAACCTTGCTCCTTGGACGCTGGGCTGCCAGCAGACCAGGAGTCTGCAATCAGCTTCCCTGCTTGTGAGCACGCAGACCAGTGGGAAGAAGCTATGGGAAAGAGAAGACTTCCACACAAGCTTAGACTAAAATCCCTCTGCACTATGGGTCAGCTAAGAATCTGCTGCCCCTTCCAACCAATATTCCCCTAATCACAGTTCCACATTTCTGTAGTAAGAAGGACTGATTTTCTCTTTTTACATATATTTTTAAAATGTTATTTATTTGAAAGAGAGAGAGATAGAGAGGGAGAGCACAAGTAGGGAGTAGGTACAGAGGAGAGGGGAGCTCAATACAGGGCTCAATCCCAGGACCCCGGGATCATGACCTAAGCCCCAGGCAGACACTTAACCAACTGAGCCACCCAAGTTGTCCCTGAGTTTCTAATTATAAATATGTGTCTATACCAGATTCACTAAGTAATTCATTTCCACTGCCTAAATGCAATGTCAATAATCTAAGAAAAATAAAGTCACCTTTAAAAAAAAATACTTATTTTAGAAAGAAGAGAGCATGTGAGAATGTGAGCAGGGGGAGGGACAGAGGGAGAGGGACAAGCAGACTCACTGAGCCTAAAGTGGGGCTCCATCCCATG